TGGTGTGGGCCCCAACGTACAGCCACTGCTGCCGCCGCGCGATGGCAGCCCAGTTGGGAGTGGTCCCCCCTCCCGCTTGTTCTCGGTCAAGCCCTGCGGTCACGTCGTTGGCCCGGGTGGGGCTGTCCACGACGCGGGGGCCGCTGGCGTCGCGGAGGAGGCCCAGTCCTCGCGCCCAGTCCACCGCCTCTCGGAGGGTGCAGTGGAAGGGCTGGGGGGGACGCGGCGTCGCGCCCAACCCCACCCGCGCGGTGCTTCGCATGACAGATGGAACGGAAATGGTCCTTCCTGGTATGGATAAAACCTAACTGTGTGGAATCGCACAGAGCGGGAAGAGGGAAAAGCGGGGGAAAGGAATGAAGGGGTGGCGCAACGCCACTCTGCTAGGAGTAAAACAAAGCGACAACATTCCAAATGAGTCTCCGGTTAGCTGCCTGAACAGTTTAGAACTTGTTTTTCTCACGAAAAGGTTGGAAAAGCGTTTGAAGCCCAAAATTTGCTTTTCGTGGTGAACCATCCACCCTCTCCACTCTGCAAAACGGACGACAGTCTTTTTCAGGTCTCTTATCGGAGTCCCGTGAGGTTCGGCTTCCTCGGAGTATTGCAAACCTCTCTCTCAAACCCGAATTTCCTTCAATGTATTCACGCATCGTTCCTCGACGGTGAGAAGTGAGGTTCCTATCCTCTTGAGAAAAGGGGTGATACATGCGAAGCACTTATTGCGTAGAACTGGTACCCCCTCTGATCAAGGGGAAAAAATAGTAATGCATTGGCTTCACGCCCTTAGACTATGGATGGCGTCACGCGACTGATTGCAATGATGCGAGGAACTATAGTCGTTCTACTCACCAGCCCTTTTAAGCGAGATCTTTGCCTCCGAGCATGCTGGGGCGAGCTGCAGTGCTGAGTCGCTCGAGAAAACCCCTCCAACAAGCCCTCGAACTCTGCACCCCATTAACGCCCAATGTGTGCAGAGAGCTTACTTTCACGAGGTTCCAGACAGTGCTATGTGAAGAGAAGCAGACTGGGTACCCCATAAAAAGCTCTCATGTGGCGTTGGTAGGTACCACTGGGAAGGCTGAATAGAAGATTGAGGTGTATACGAAGCTCCCACACTGACCCCCTTGAGTCCATAACAGCGTATCTCTCTAACCATACAAATTGGCAAAGAAAAAACGAATCTGTTGCAGAAGGGGAAAAAATCATTCATGGAAGGTTCTTCTCAGATGTCATGGTATCTATACTAGACACCAAGAAATGGAAGGCCTCCCTGTACCTCAGAGGGGGCTCTGGCGCATGCTTACTACGAAGAGACTAGAATTGATAGACTCCTTGTTGCATGACTCGTCATTTTCACTTTGACCTTTTCCTGGCAGAATTTGTTCCACATCGTACATTTTTCATCCACAGACACGAGACTCTCCATAACAATCAAATAGAAGGAACCTCAGCGCAAGACCTCCAGAGGATATATCGTATAAAAAAGGTATCTCATCTAATAATCTGATAAAAAACGACAATATTGGGAAAAAGTAGGTGCATTTTCTGTGAATATTAAGCATTATCATTAAATATACACTAAATAATGTTAAAAGTAATTGTGATATTCTGATACAGAATCTGATGCTCAATGAAGACTGTAATGCCCTAAAAAATCATAGGCCTAAAAAAAAGAATATTTAGTTCGCGTAAACTGGTGTTTGATATAGTTAATTCATTCCAGCTTTAAGGGGTAATCCAATTTTCATGATCTAAGACTTGCTTCATAAATGATCACCACCTTAAAATTGCTGATTCTGTTGACTTCAGACACAGTGTAATGCACTTCGGAGTCTATATTAAAAATCTTCAAGGCTACGACCACATATAATGTCTTTACGCACACAACTGCATACTATCCTATACATACTGGAAGAGAAAGGTTTTGCATGTTAAAAGTATTAGAAGATTGATCCCTTTGCTAAAATCCCGAACGAGTCTTACACCAAAGGACAACCCAGCATCACCTATTTCCTTTAAAAAAAGAAATGCTAAGTATAGTGTGTGTATTATAAACAGACTATCGACCACCTTCAACATAAGGGCTTGATCTCATCGCATACCAAATACACATCACCAGCACAGCAAAGAGCAGGCTAGAGATACATCTTGAAGCATAAATATACAAGTATGGTATGTGCTAAGCAAAATCTTTATGATCCTTTTTGAGAATAAAAGGACACTCAAAAGTTAAAGGATAAAAACCAGCTCAACTTGTGAGTTTCTTAAGGGCATATTTTTCACTTTTCGCCCACATTTGCGTTCCTTTTTCCAGAATTTGCTAAATACGTAAAACTCTTTGTACAAGGGAAGGGGGAGAAAAACAAATAAACAACAAACAAGAAGACACTTATCTTTTAATATTATAAACTTGAATAAATCGTTTAGAACTTCAAAAAATTATACAAAATGATTTCCCTTTTACCAATTTAATATTTGAGTACCTATTTTCCTCACCTATGAATTGTGACCTTGCAGCTCTCCTTATCTTATAAATATTTATTTTTTTTTCCTTCGCTGCCGCCTCAACTTATCCATCCGATTCTCCAAGTGAAAAAAGGTATTTCTTTAGGGGGGATGACATTTATTTTCAGCCATATGCCGGTAAAGTCGACAAACGCAGTAGCTGGAAGTCTATAACAAATGTGTATAAATATAGACGATTTAAAAATTCAATGAGGAAAATTATTTATTTCAGCAGTTTTTTCTTTGTTTTACAGCAAAATTTTTCTGTATACGGACGTGCATGTAAAAAGAAAAAAACAGAAGGTAGAAAGACCGCCAATAACAACAAAACTAAGAAAAAACTGAAATTTCTTGCCTATAACGAACCCAGGCCTACTTTTTTCTCTCAGAAGATTTTCTAAAATCATGAAAAGGGGTGTCTGAGTCGTTCGTCCCAATGAAGCATATCGAAATTAGCGGTCTACTTACCCACAACGTTGCTGTTTTATTACTTTTTTTTTCGAAGAGACAAATTGTGCTTCACTTCAGCTTCCCTTTTATCATATAAAAATATACTTATGAGCTGTACAGGGAAACATTTCCAAGAATTGGAAAGAAGCACATCAAATTTTTTTAAGAAAAAGAAAATTGAGAGATAGGCTAAAAAAAAAAAATCGACCGCTTAGTGCATATTTTGGCCTCGTATTGCATTATTCTGACAATGTTTAAATAATTTTTCTTTTCGTATCAAGTTGCAAATATTCTAGCATCCACCGAACTGAGGAAGAAGAAACCCAAACACATATTCTCAGACTAATAAGTAGTGTATCCTATTGGGGAAAAAGTGGCGAGGAAAAAGGAGACAAATTTCTTCTGCTATTTTCTTTAGCAAACCACCGAATTCGGAAAAAAAATTAGCACTAGAACCTGGGCCAAAAAAATTTTGAACATCAAAAAAACAGCAAGAAAAAGTAAAAACTTGGACTACATACAAATGGTTTTCAAAAGGCGAGCTGTGGGGAATAGCATATGGGCCACCAGCTATGGGAATGACGCTTGGTGTGTTTAACACTAAACTTCATCTGCAAAACCTTCTTTTGATAACTTCGAAAAAAAAGTAGTTGATGAACATATATGTGAATATATATTATCGATGGTACGCTTTCATATTTTCATTCACTGTTTTTTTTCTCTTTACTTGCCTACTCTCCTCTCTCCATCTATGAGTGATCAGAACATATGAATCAAATATACGACTCTAAAAAAGACTCATTCTTTGCAGACGTAAGAAATTCACAGGTCATAACTCGAGAGAGAACGTGCAAGAATATTGATGGGAAAAATTTAAAGGATTGCGCTTTTTCGTGACCTGGGATGATCATTTTGCAAAGCATTAAAAGCAACAACGATAAAATGAGTATTGATAGATAACTGCTCCTCATTGAGCTGCTACGGTTGCGATTTGAGATGGGGTCTATTTTTCTCTTGCCTTCATGTTCATAGATCCATAGGCGTGCCCAGAGATCCGTCGTCGGAGCTTTCCAGCGAGACGAACACTGTGATAGTAATCACTTTCCCTGCAGCCCTCGGGCAAAAGCGGTGGTGGAACCCGTCGCAAGCATTCACGCACGTTGATAGCGTACCCCTCATCACCGCAAAGTTCATGCCATTGCTGCCGTAGCGCAGATACACATACATCCCGTGCTTCCAGCCAGCTGTAGCACAGCTCCGAATACACCTCCGTCATCTTGAGGGTATCGTTCCTGCGAACGGCGTAGTAATGCTCGAGAAGGCATTGCAGCGGATTCAGCACAGACTTCCCGCAATACAGTTGGATCTCTTTACGGCAAGCCTTTGCGAGGGATAACACCCGGGGGACGGTCGGGGTTCCGCCCATGCCTTCGCTGAGAAAGGGCGTATTCGAGCAGCACTGGTCACCCCGATCACGGAGATGCTTAGCATTGCTCTCACGGATAGCAGACGAGCTCGATCGCGGGAAAGGGAAGGAGTCAGATATGTATGGCCGATCGGGCATGGGGGAAGTTGCTGCAGAGAAAACACTACACAACAATGCCATAAAAATGGAGATGCATAGTAGATTTGGAAACGCCAGGCAGTGGCCTGTTTGGCGGATAATGTTCTGCCTTTTACAGCAATTTCCAAACAGCAAGCTCTTTCGAGAACTGAGCCATGAAGAGGACATCGATTAAGGTCTTCAGACAATCTCAGAGCTTAACTTTCGACCACGAAAGCAAAGAGTAGTCGTTAACGTCGAAAATAGCAGCTTTATTAGTTTACACGTCTAACTTAAAGTCGCGTGTCTTAAGCTAACTGCAGATAGTCTAATGTATCGAAAGTCACGTGAGTTTCAATGCTAGAAGCACGATGACTTGAAATGTAGCAAGCTTGTCCTTATTTACCTCTTCTTTTTAAAAAAGAAATATTGATTTCTTTGTATAAAAAGTTTTTGTATAGCTAGTAACTGAAGTATTGAGCAGCACAAGCAAGTGAACAAAAACAGTATTATGTGTTTATGACCCTCCAACTCACTCCAGAAAAAACAGCCGTAAGCAACTAACAGGACTGGGAGGAAAAATTCAATGATGAAAATGGGCAAGGCATACAGAAAAAGGGTTAATCAATTAAAAGCAACCATTCGTACTTCAAAGACGCAGTATGGCTTGTGCTGAATTATACATTGATGCTAAATTATCTTCAACAAAGCAAAATCAAAGAGAAACATATATGCCTGTGTATATTATATTCCTTCGAGCTCCGCGCGACTTTCTCGATTGGTAATATCAACGATAACAGCATTCATCCAAATTATCAAATATCCCACGCAGCTAAATAGAAATGACATGTTGAAGAAGAATATCCAATTCATATTCGATACCTCCCAGAACCCGTAGGCGAGATAGAACCCCCACACCGCAGGCACTGTAATGAGAAACGTGAAAATAGGAAAGAACATATCCAGTTTAACGCTTTGAAAGTCGCCAACAGGCCTTTTCTCGGAATCGCTCTCGCTAATATCTGGGAGTGCCGCGGCTGCGGGGGTCCGGTTTGCATACATAAACAGCACTACAAGGCACCAAAAGGGAATCGTCAGAAAGCTTCGAAACATCACTGAGATGGCTATTGCAAAGCAAACCATAAAAACCTTGACATCTGCGACGAGTGGGGTGTGCCTAGAGGAAGAGACCTCCGTGACAGCAAACGGTGGAATCGCCACCGCGGTAGGAAGAGTAATCACGGCCGGGATGATCACGAGGGCTATTTCAAGGCATCTTTCGAAGGCTGGAAAGATAGACATCTTCACATACCACAACGTGCCATGGTCGATAGGGATGTAAGCAGCGGTGCGCTGAAAAACATCCTCGGTGTAGACGCGATAAAGCAGTGCGTAGGCGCCCACCACGAGGCTGAGGGCGGCCGCCGAGCCTATCGCCACGCCTCGGCAACGTACTCCCATCGGGTAGAGCAGCATCACCGGAACCGCCAAAAAACTGCTCCCGAGCGCAATGGATGCGATCAGGGCGAGGAGAAACACCCATGGGCGTTGTCGCCGTTGTCGACACCCCTCCACTACAATTGCCAACAAAAACCACTCCAGCGGCATGATGGATTCATAGAGAGCGGGCAACACCATGAAAGGGTTAAACACAAAGCCGGCGTAAAGCAGGGTGGGGGTGCAGGAGGGCCATCCAGCGAGAAAAAAAGCCGTGAGGCCGTCGCACAGCCCCAGCCACGCCGCCGGCCATGGACGGCATGCGAGAAAAGGAGGCAGAAACCGCACGTACCACGGCGAAATCGAGAGCAGGTAGTCGGGAATCCCGTGCTCGGAAAAGTGCGCACGCAGAAACCCGACCTCCCGCCATACCCCTGCATCCAACGGCGCCGGAATGAGGGAGAAACGAAGTAGCGGCTGGGCGACGACCCGCTCTCCGTCGGCGGTGTGGTACGCGAGGGTGGAGTTCGATCCTAGGGGGAACCCTCTCGGCGGATGAAACACCCAAGGCTCCGTCACCCCTCTCTCCAGCACGTCGTAGCTCATCGCGAGGACGAGACGTACGGCGATCGTGATGAAAAAGGCGATCCAAGGGTTCATTAGCCGCGAGGTCGGGGTAACTGGTTTTGATGGGCCCGCATTCGGATGTGTACGTGGCATTGTTTCGGCGTCGATTGATAGATTCGCGAGGAGACGAGTCTTGACTCACTAGCTCGCTCACGATGCTTTCTTGTTTTTCAAAAAACTAGTATTCAATATATATATATATATATATATATGTATGGTTATTACGATGGGCAGGAAAAAATCACGAAAAAGTGTTAAGCATACAAAGGGGCACCTGAATAATGATCATGATGAAGAAAACAAAGTAAGGATGATCTTAGTCCACCCCTACGGAGCATCTCGACACACGAGCCCTTTCTCTTGACGGTTTATTCTTTTTTTACAAACCGGAGACGCCGTATCTCCACAGCGTTGCGGTACGCGCTTGGGCAACCCTGCATTAGACACCATCTATGATCCTCTATGGTATAGTCAGCTTGCGGGGTCAATGAGATAGCAAGATGGTTTCCACCTACCCCTTTGTGAGCAACCTCTAAAAATTGATCCCCTCCATCGGCTCCAGCAGTAGCATGTGAGTGAAAATGGCGGCCCGCTTCAGCGGTGCCTTGGTGAACTCGAGTTTGGGCTGCCGTCGGTCGACCTCGACCCTTGGTCGCTTTCGCTCCTCATTAAGCTCGTCCTGCTTAAAGGTGGCTTGGATGCAGACCGCGGGATCTCGTCCGAGTTGCGCCACGGGCCCCCAGGAGTACCGCACGAAGTTAAAACGCCTGGGAACGATGAAAAACCGATGGAGATGGGATCGCAACCACCGGGCGGCGCGTGGATCGCTCGGATAGCCACTCCCTAAATCGATCCCGAGCCCCACGATCGCCGCATCCCGCATCGTCTTCGCGATAATTGAGGCAGCAGAAACGACGGGGTACTTGCTATCCGCTTTGGCCGCGACGGTGATATCGAGGTGCGGGAAACGCCCGGAAAGTCGACCTTGGTAGCTCTCCGGCGGCCCTACGGTATCGACGTAGGCCGCGCACAGCCTCCCCGCCCCTGCCAGCGTCGCGCGGGAGATGATCG